TTACTCCCTGGCCAGTCAGGGTAACTAAAATGCCGTTTTTCTTTCCAGTGAAAAAACCAGGAACAATCCCCCTTTCTTAAATATTTACGTCATAAACAATAACATGCTTGGTTGAATATCTACAATTTAAATTTTAAAATAGTGAAATTTGAATTTTTATTTCCAGGACATGCATCACTCCACTCCGCCCATTTTTTCAAAATAATTCCAGAAAAAAGGAAATCCTTTTACATTTTTGGTTTGACTTAACATTTTTGTGTCATGAAAATTGCTCTTTCGATAAAGTTAAAATCATGCCAATCAAGCACTGGATAGGCCCAGTGCACCTTAGTAAACCAGGGTGACATTTTGTTCGGCCACCCGGTACAGCCAAAGGGAATGCTTTCAAGGTTGAGCGAATCATGAACTGATTTTTATTATTTTTTTTTTAGATAAAATCCGTGTTTGCCCTATTGCATGTGCCGAACATGTTTCGACGAAATATAGATGTTATTCTAATAAATAGTCATTCAAATTCAAATAAAAATTGCCGTGGACCACAAGAAACGCGGAGGCGAAGCCGAGGCTGTTTCTTGTAACAGGTAAAGACAACGGAGTACTGCGCGCGCATGCTTGCGCTATGTACGCCGCTAGGAACAGAAATGCTTGTTAAGGGAGATAGAATACCCCAGTGGATGGGAGTGCGCGTCCCAAATTATCCAACGCAATTGGAGACCAAAATCCGGTGGTTCACATTTTTTTCTATAGCGCAGACGCCAAAAGAAAACATACGCACAAATTTTTAAAGAGAATGATCCGCGACTGTGTATGGCCACACCTTTGGACGAGGCGAGGCCACACAACAAACGATCCATTTGCATATCAATCGACTGAGACCAAGGTAGCCACACAATGGAATCAAGAATAAGATCAATAATAAATAAGATGACAATTGACAATTGACAATAAGATCAGAATTCTCAATGGGTAGAGCGATGCTGTTACAGCAGCTGCGAGGGAAGGCGTGTTTTTCAATAATATACCGCTTAAATTGAGCAGTCAGGGTGGTATTGTGATCCTCCATCTGTTGTCCTTCCCAGCTACGCATGCGGTCTGTCTCGTACTGCCTTATTATCCCATTCGTTGTACTGTAACTCCGTTTGAATGAATACCGCATCTCAGACAGGATATTCTGTGCTGTGTATCCCCGGATTTTAAGATGTGCTAAATATCGCAAATATGGCATTCTCTTATTATTCGTTTTACCTGTTAACTTTGGTGAAGTTTCAGTTTCGAATTCTTTGATCCGCATGACTCTGTAGAGTCCTACAGTTGTTCTTAGAAGTTAGACGTATACCAAAATAATTGTACACGTGCACTTGATTTTTCCTAAGCGAAAAATCCATTGACTAGCTATTCATTCTGTGCAAGGAATAAATATTCAGCCTGCCGTGTTAGTAGAATGTCCCACAATCCGGCAACGCCAGCAACTTCCGAGGGGTCCTACGCTGGACCGGGGTTTATCAGCAGCATGAAACAGTCGCTACTTAGCGGCGATTATAGTGACGTACAATTCATGGTCGGCCGGCAGTTTGGAGAGGGAAAGATCGTTTATGCACACAAGTACAATTTGCCGAATAAAATTTGATGCGCGACGGTTGCTAGAGATTTTTTTATCTTGAAGGTACGTTTTATGTCTGCGCAACTCCGTGTTCCCTGTCATGTTTTACGGTGGTTTAGCCGAAAACTGCGACAAACCCATCGATATTCCCGATGTTCCCGTGGACGCTTTTAAAAATATGCTCAGGTGCGTCTGGTCGAAACGATCGCCAGCAAGCTGTTTGTGGCTTGGTTAATTAGCATTAATTCTGGGCTTCAGTTTCCTGTACACGGAGACGGTGGGAGATTTGACTCTGGAGAACGCCATCCAGACGCTGATGTGCGCAGACAAGTACGATCTGCCGCAGCTGGTGGACATCTGCTGTGACTTTGTCAGTGCCGAACTGAACGTTGACAACTGCTTGACAATCTTGGAGAATGTTCGTCGAGGCATTCATTCTTCGTTAGCAGTTCGTATCGTTGACCTTTCGCTGTTTACAGGGAATTGAGTGGCATGCCGGGGAGATTGTCAACCGCTGTCTGCATTTTATTGACCGATCCGCTGAAGACGTTCTGAAGTCCGAGCATTTCTTGACCATTGGGCAGAAAATTCTGGCGATGATACTGGAGAGTAACACACTCTTTGCAGAGGAGCATAGCGTTTATGTGGCGGCAGAAAGGTACGAGTACAAACTAGGGCCCGGATTAATAATATTTATTGAGATCTGTAGTATTTCTTCAACAGGGTAGCAAGTGCCCATCTGCTTCAGTATTATCCATGATGAGTATTTTTATATATAGGTGGGCATCACAGGCATGCATGGCCAAAAACGTGGATCCGTCCGCCGCCAATCGGCGTGAGATACTGGGCGATGCATTGCTTCTTGTGCGGTTTCCGCTGCTGACCAACACGCAACTGGCTGATGGACCGGCCAAGGTATGTCTATCCTCCCGAAGCAAGGCAATTTCTATCCACATTACCCTTTGAAAATGCACAAATATTTATTTAAATATGAATACCGTATTAGTAATTTCAAACATTTAAGTACATTTAAAAATGTCTATCTCTTAATTTTTTCCGATTCTTGGTAGAGTGGATTGTTGCTGCAATCCGAGATGCTGGACCTGTACCAACACAAGTTCGCCACGGCCAAACCGGCGCTGCGCTTCTCCACGGAGCCTCGCCGAGCACCTTCCTTCCGCATCGGCGACACAGTAGTGGAGTATAAGGAAAAGGTGTTTGTGCAACGTAAAACCTTTTGTGGACCAAACGTGGAAATCTGGTATCCGGCGGAAATTGTGGGTGCCATGAAAAAACAGTTTCACTACGTGTTGCATATGGATGATAATATTACGCTCCCTGATGGCGCGTCACGTGAAGGCAGCGCGGTCAGCGGACAAATTCTGCGGGCTGTCGACTTCCTAAAGCCCGGCCATCTGATGCTGGCCTGTGTTAACGGTCGCGATATGTTGGTTAGTTACAGCCGGGCGCACTCTGATCTTCACGTCGTTAAATACGGCCATCGGGAGGAGGCTAGCGTCCACTTCGCCGATTTAGCGGCTACGAACGATCAAGTTAGACTGTTTAATGAACTTATTGAGCTCTAAATTTTAGGGCTACCGTACGTCATTTAAGTGTCCAATCATGCTCTTAATCTTGCTGCTTATCAACAGGTATTTGCTATGTATCTGGCTCATAATTTTTTTAAACGAATAGTATCAAATTTTGGGGTCCGGGTTTGGCTTGACTCACGTTGCCTGAATTGTTTTGTTGTATGTTTTTTTGTGTATGAATTATGATATAAAAAGTCATATTAAAGGGCAATAAGATGCAAATAACCGTGCTTCTGTTAATTGTGTCTGTTTCCGGATGTAATTAAGCATTTTCCGTGGTACTAAAATTACCAGTTTATTATTAGACTGCCAAGGAAAAACTCAACACTGTAACCGTTACAATTATGGGCTAACTTTGATTCAAACGAAACCGTAATCGTGAGTCTCCAGCAGAGAAAATATAATCAAAATTATTTCAAACCACTGGGAAAATCGCGAGCTAAACATCGTCGCTTTTTTACATTTTCCGAACGGTAAAATAACAACATAGGCGAAAAGGTATTAAAATTAAAACAAAAAATATTCACTCTAAACAATAACACTATACGTCAATAGCGGCATAGGCGAAATCAAGTTTTGCATGATTGATAAAAACTGCTGGTGGGATCCGAACAGTCCACAGAATTTTTATTCTGTTTATTAACGGTTTCGTTAAATCTACACATAGTCTGATTGGAATGTTCCAAAGCCAGCAAACTGCTTCCGCCCCATGATGCTTTTTTTCTATGTTTACTGCTTTCTGTTCTGTCGTATGTCCAAAAAGCAAAACAAATTCGACGAGGTATATCGTAGATCAGTTAACGTAAGCTCCACATCTCGGTTTAAAAGTGTTCGGGTGTAGAACAGCCACCACAAGGTGGCACCGTCAGGAACATGCTAAACGCGGCACGGCATTGTGCTGCGACAGGGCGGGGCAGGTCTCATGCAGGCAACCTCAGCGGAAGCGGTATGCCTTTAAAATAAACGCTACTGTAGCTCACTGTAAACGGCACAAGTTGTCTGACAAAAGAATATGTATTAAAAGCCGCCAAAATTCTACTGTTCAACTCCTTTTCCGGATAACATACGCACAATGACCATCTGCGCCAGATTTCAAAGGAAATAATTCGAGGGTGAATGGCCGCACCTTCGGACGTTGCTGCAACACGGGAGATAGATGACAATACCATCCAGGCTACGCTCAATACAAACGGCTTAAAGAGAAAAGCCTGTGATATCCGCATAATCACAGAAATGAAAGGAGACTGAGACAGGGAGAACAGTCGATCAGCTGATGTCTGGTAGCATCCCGCCTTTTCTAGTTGTGACTGCTGTCTACCGGTAGAGAATGCTCTCACTAGTCTCATTCTTTTGTGCGTCCTTAGCTGCCCGAGTCTAATTCCGGATATTGCCCTTCCTGGCTGACCGTATTTCATCTGTCTGGTCCACTTTCATATTTAATGCCATAATTGCAACCCTGTTTGAATGAATAATAATTTCTACCGACACCGTTGCACCATGCCCCGCGGTCAGTGCATAGGCTAATTAAGGACCTATCTGAATAAAACTGAATTTCGCGGGGTATGGCTGCGCTCTTTAGTCTTAACGCCTGTGAAGTACAGTTATCATATTAAATTTGGAATTCTTTAATCTTTCTGACAAGTCAGTTGGCTTTTCGCACTTACTTCGTCGCCTAATAACTACACATTCGATCTTTGTCACATAGAAAATTCATCGCATTCGGCCATTCGCTAATCACTGAACGAGGCGCTCATCAGTAGAAATTCAGTCTGTGGCAAGAACATTTTCCAACCTACAGTTTCAGTAGCATGTCCCATAATTCGGCAGCGTCCACAAGTCCCGAGCGGCCCTACGCTCAACCGGGGCTTATCAGCAGCATGAAGCAGTCGCTCGCTAGCGGAGAATTTAAGGACGTGCAGTTTATGGTCGGCCGGCAGTTTGGAGAAGGAAAGCTCCTCTCAGCGCACAAGTAAGTTCTGGCGAGCGGAAACTGATGCGTGACGGTTATCGAAGGTTATTTTTGGTGGAAGGTACGTTCTGTGTCTGCAAAGCTCCGTGTTCCGTGCCATGTTCTACGGTGGCTTGGCTGAAAACTGTGAGAAGCCCATCGATATTGCGGATGTTCCTTCGGATGCCTTTGCCAATATGCTCAGGTTTGTGACGTCACAACGGTCGCGTTGGCAGACTTTTTGAGCCATTCTTGTTTTGATTCTAGTTTCCTGTACACTGACGCAGCAGATGACCTATGCGTGGAGAATGTCATCCAGACGTTCATGTGCGCGGACAAATACGATCTGCCGCAGTTGGTGGACATCTGCTGTGACTTTGTCAGTGCTCATCTTAGCGTCGAAAACTGCCTGACTATTCTGGAGAACGTTCGTTGAAGTTTTCTTTCTACCTTAACTATCGCCATCAAGTTGGCGTTTGGCTGTTTACAGGGAATTCAGTGGCATGCGGAGGAAATTGTCAAGCGCTGCCTGCAGTTTATCGACCGGCACGCTGAAGATGTCCTGCGATCGGAACATTTTTCGACCGTTGACCAAAAGATGCTGGTGATGATTTTGCAGAGAGACACGCTCTTTGTCGCCGAGCATAGCGTCTATTTGGCTGTGGAAAGGTATGGTGCAACTGGATGTCGAAAACAAACGATTATTTATCGAGAGCGGTCGCAGTTTTAACTTCCGTATATTTGTAGTTTAAGCGAATAACGCGTAATAATTCGCCTAACTTCCGTATTCGTTTTAACTTCCGTATATTTGTAGTTTAAGCGAATAACGCGTAATAATTCGCCTATGCACCTGGCTGAGGCTGGCTCGATAATATCTATAAAGTTTTCTCGTTGTACGTATTTACAGGTGGGCGCAACAGGGTTGCAAGACGAACAACATGGATCCATCCGGCGCCAATCGGCGTCAGATTCTAGGTGAAGCATTTTTGCTGGTACGATTTCCTTTATTGACCAGCACACAACTGGCTGATGGGCCGGCGAAGGTTAGTGACGGCGGAATCGGGAAGGAAATTATTTCTGTTTCACGCTTTATCTTGTTAGAGTGATTTATTACTGCAATCCGAAGTTCAGGAGTTGCATCAGTACAAGTTTGCCAAGATTAAACCAGCCCTACCTTTCTCAACGGACCCTCGCCGAGTGACTGCATTCCGCATCAACGGCACGGTATTCAAATACAGAGAAAAAGTGTTCGTTCGGCGGCCCAACGCGGATATTTGGTATCCGGCGGAAATTATGGACGCCGGAGAAACAGAGTTTTACTACACGTTGCAAAAGATCCCTAATGGAGCGTCAGAGAAAGGGAGCGCTCTCGGCAGACATATCGTGCGTGCTGCCGACCTCCTGAAGTACGGCCAAGGGATGCTGGCCGAGATGAACGATATCTATATGTTTGTTAGTTATAATCGGGCGCACTCTGATCAGCACGTTGTTAATTACGGTCAGCGCGAGTATACCCTTCCCTTCGCCGATTTAGCGGCTACAAATGGTCAAGTAGCAATGCTTTTTTAACAGGTTTCCACTTACCCAGCCAGGTTTCTGACGGTTAGCTTCCTTTTTATTCTAATGCGTGTTTCTTTCTCCTCTTTCACTGTTATGTGTACTTTATTGTTTATCCGAATCTGACTTTTGTGTAGCCCGTATCTGCACGGTTACGTCTGACGACCTTCACAGTATATTGCGCAAACGATGGTTAAGTCGTTTATTCCGTAAAGCTGTACTCCTCCAAGTGGGTAAAATCCAGAATCATTTCCCATCTTCCGCCAGAAGTACATTTGCACAAAATAAGACCGCCCAGCCGCATGCCGATGCAGGATGCTTACAATTCACAACTTTCCAACGATATTCCTCTCCGCTGTCACACTTTTAAACATACCACGCAAGGCTATCGATAGGGTTCCCACGACACATATAATTTAGTTATGCTTTGTTACGTATGAGATTTTCCACTGATCAATTCACAAAGTTGAAATTCGGCATAGTTGCTGCAAAACCTGTATAAATCATTAATTTTTACTGCAATGACAGAGTACCGTACTGTACTGTGTGTTTAAATATATTTATTGTCAACTTGTACAAGCCAATGCCATTTTACATTCAAACTTTAAAAACCCCAATAATTAGATCAAGTAAAATAACTCTTCTAACTCTCGAGAACACCCGACCGTCCCCAGGACAGAAGCCGAGTTTCCGCGCTAAATTTTTACACTTATACGTTGCCATAAATACTGAACAGCGCGCGCTTCTCCTGTTTGTTCTTTGATACGCCGGCCGACTTCATTGATGAACTGGCGAGTACTTTCGCCACAACTTCCCATAGTTTCGAGAGCCACTGGCTGGAAAAAATGCCGATCAATGAGTTCGGAATAAAGATAGAGTACTGTGTGTTATTTTGGTAATACCTGTAACGCTTAAGGAGATCGGCAAGAAAGTGTTCATCAGGAAGAGCGATAGTCGTCCTACATGTTTTTCCTTTCAACGTTTAAGTTTAGAGATTATCCGCGGCAATGCCATGAGTGTATTATGCACGGTCCCCTCTCATGCCAACTGGGATAGATTTTTCATTTGATTGTATTTTTGTGAGGGATGCTCGTCCTTGTACATATTGCAATTTGCAAATAAAATCCCCATCTTGTCACGCTGTAATTCAAAGCAGGATAAGAATTGTAACTTATGAGAGACAGTAATAAGAGAGAGATAATTTAAGATTCAACTGATTGATAAATTATTGAGTTGGAGAGTGTTGCTTACATGAGCACAACACACATATGAACAGCCAAACCGGAAACTAATGCACAGCACGTAGAAATATACATATTACAACGAGACCCTCAAGTCTCTCCACGAGGTTTGTTTGTTAGGCGGTCCTCGAGACCAAAACGACTGTTCTGTGCTGGTGGTAATACACGGGAAAGGGAAAGGTCATACACAAACACAGATCACATACTGCCACAAGGCTGACAACTTTAATTCATAAACACACACACGTTAGCAATAAATTGCCGTCACGTAAGACAGGCAAAAGTCAAATTAAAATTAACATTCACAAACTCGACAGTTTACCGCAACATCTCAAACACCTGTAATCAGTGTGGTCAGCCACACTGAACAAAACCACACATGTCACGCTGAAAGCTTCAATATTAAATGCGGCTTATCCAGAATAAGCACTCGTACTACTACGTACACTAAACTGCACCAGGAATATTGGCGGCAAATCTGCGAAGTTCAAAGTACAATGATAATTCTGTTGCAAAGCCGAATCCTCACGAACCCGATCAGGCAGAAGCGAGTTTGCAGCTGTTGTTCACGGATAGCGGAGCTTTCACAGTTCACAGTGCACAGACAGGCTGACAAGTGAGGATCGGCAGCAACCGGCAGACACGAACGAGCGCTTTGCAGTTTTGACTTTCCAAAACAATTATTACTTTCCAAAACATTCGAAACGTGATGTTTTGAAAGTGATGTGAAGTTGACTGCTAAACCGCAACTGTTACTCTCAGCATTTTCGTAGCCTCTGATTTGTGATTATTCGCTAACTGTTTTTCTTGACAAATTTTTACAGAGCACCTAATCCTTCCGTTGCTACCAGATCGCAGACCCTGTAGTTTGTGCATTTCAGTCTCATCAAACGAGTGCATTGGCTGTATCAGGATGGCCTCCACGAATCCTTCTTCACCAACGTCTACTGAAAAACCAGACTCTGACTCAGGGATCGTCAGCTGCATCATGCAGACATTATCCAGTGGACGATTTAATGATGTACGGTTTGCTGTTGGACGCCACTACGGCCCCGTGAAGATCTTCACAGCTCACAAGTCAGTATCGCGCTCGTGCCTCAGTGGGCCATTTCTGCCGCTTCCGATTTCCATAAATCTTCATGCTTTTGCAGATACATTCTCAGCATCCGCAGCACTGTATTTGACACCATGTCCAATGGGAGCTTGCCAGAAAATTGTGAGGAACCCATTGAGATTCCTGATTTCCCTCCAGATGCATTTGGCAACATGCTTAGGTACTGTACATGAAGGAATGTGGATTTTGGGTTTGTTGACTGTTGTACGCGGTGTCAAATACGCTATAAGACGGTTAGGTAAGATGTTGAATGCCTGTTTTTACTCCCGTTGCAGCTACATATACACGGATTCCGTGGAGAACCTGAATCTGGATAATGTCATCCCTACAATGAGCTGCGCTGACAAATACGATCTGCCGCAGCTGGTCAAGGCCTGCCGAATGAATGAATGAATGAAAGTTTATTGTCCTTGCAACGGAGCAGTTGCCCCCTCTAGGCTTCAGACAGTGTAACAACAACATCGAAACATAACACGAAAAAACATGGTCACTGTGATGACGGTAAACAAAGCAAGCAAAACATCAGAAAGGGAAAACCATGAGCATAATATGGAAGCATGAAAGTGCTCTTCTATCGGTTGCGATGTTGGTTTCTGCTATTGTGGAAAAAGGGAGGGAGGCGATCGTGCTGGGGTCGATGCATAAAACCAAAACCCACATAAGTAAATACCTAATGGATTTTAGAAAAATTTTCAAAAAGAAACCGTGGGGAAAAGGAAAGCAAAGACACTTACGCACGTAATCGCCTTTTGTACTGTTACAACTAAACCGCAACCGTATAAAGTAGATTAAATGCACATCAAGGGAGGAAACATTAGAACGTGACGAAAGGTCAACTGAACAAACCAGCGAAAGGCTAACGCGATATAGGAAAAACAAAACAAAACAAAACGCAAAAGAGAAATCAATTAAGAACAGTTGGAAAAAACAATGCGCAGTTATTTTCCACCAGACGAACTTTCCAGTTTTTTTACTGATGCCAGTTCATTCCATTTTACTCCCTGAAGCGCTTCGGAAAAGGAATTTAAGGTCGCGTAAGCCTCTGGATTCAGAGTTAACTCATTCCAAATGCATATCAGGTGGTAAAGATACGACGATTCTTGGGCGGGAGTCACAGTCAATTCACATACAGTTGTCACGGCCGGTTGGATTGGGCATGGATGGTCCACCAGACGTTTAGTTGATCTGGTGTTTCCTGCAACAGACTCAAGCACGGCAGCAGTAATAGTAAGAGGAGATACGATCAACTCTCCCATGGGAATTTTGCGAAAGACCAGCTTATAGATAAACTGGAGGGCCTTCTTCAATCGACGTATGCTCAAATTGTCCCAGCCGAGTTCTTTCAATCGTTCATCATAGTTCAGAACATTGTTGCCGAGTCTTAAGCTTTTAGTGAATCGCCTTTGGCAACTTTCGAGAGTGACGATCGACTGTTTTAAAGCCGGTTGAGTAATTGAGCTACAGTAGTCAACGATCGAAAGAACAAGTGACTCGAAGAGTCGAATACGGGCGCCATAATTACTGTAACGAAAAATGTGATTTATATAGCCAATTCGTTGTTTGCATTTCTTGGCTATGTTTTCGCTGTTTACTTTGAAACTGAGCTTTCGGTCCAGCCAGATACCCAGATGTTTGACGTGTTCGAAACTGGGAACGGGGACATCGTTAATTATGTAATTGTAAGGAGGTGTTTGAGTCATCTGCTTGGAGAAATTGACATGAGCAGACTTGGCGGCGTTAAGACAGAGATGCCTGCTGGAAAGCCATTCACTAACGCGCGTAATATCCTGTTGTAATAGTTCACAGTCAGAATGGTGGGTAATGGGGCGAAAAAGCACAATGTCATCTGCAAAAACAAAAGCGGCGCTTTTGTTCTTTAATGCCTGAATGATAAAATTCAGCACACATATAAACAGTAGCGGACCAAGCACTGATCCTTGTGGTACTCCGCTACATACGGCAAGTGCATGTGATACTGCGCTTTCCACTGTGACACACTGCGATCGACCTTTCAAGTAGTCGGAAACCAAATGCACAACCTGACTGGGAATGCGCATTTCTACCAGGGAATTGACATTGATCGCTGGTATCAAGACGATCAAGATCGATAAGCTGTTGATTCTAGTAGAGCAGGTGAGATAGTCTCCCAGAGAATAAAACAGTAACGCAGTAGCCGTACAAGGACGACCTCTCTGTCTTGTACAGGCAATCCGGTGGTGTGCGGAAGATGTGATGAAGAAGTTCTTGGGTTGGGTGGATAATAACGCTGGCCGGGTTCTGGTGTCAGATGAATTGATCACCGTTAGTCTGGCTACACTGATAATAATCCTTCTGCGAAGTACGCTGCATGCTGAAGAGAATGACGTATATTTGGCCGTAGAAAGGTATGTCTCGATGTCGGAAAAATCAAAAAATACCTATTACCAGTAATGTTTCGCTTGCGTTTGTAACCTTATGCAGCGCTTAGGGCATGTGCAGTTTGTGCACTGCTCAGTCTGGCAGTCGCGATGTGGTGATAGCATTAACATGTGATGATTCTCTGGTTTTCGATTGAAGATAATATAGCGCAGCGGCATCTGTTACATATCAAACGAAATGCTGGCGCTAGGCGCCGTTGATCTAGCTACGTTGGTATCCTAAGTAGTAATAATATCGCAGTGTTATTGTTAGATGGGCCGTGGAGGCATGCAAACGTGACAACATGGGGCCTTCTCCAGCTAACCGCCGTCAGGTGTTGGGTGATGCGCTGTTTCTAGTTCGCTTTCCGCTGCTGGATCCCGGTCAGCTTGCGGATGGTCCTGCAAAAGTTGGGTTAAATCACTTTTTTGGCTGTGATATGTCGTGCTAATTCTGTTTGATGGACAGAGTGGTCTTCTGACCGAAGCGGAGTTAGCCAGTTTGTTCCTCTATCGCAATGCCACAACGAAGCCTAAACTGCCGTTCCCGACAGAGCGTCGTCAGGACAGGCTGATGCGAGTCGGATTCCTGCCCGGACAGGAAGTATTTGTAGAGAGTCCAGCGGGATTCTGGTGGGAACCGGCCAAAATCACCGGGACTACCCCGTTCAGTGTGACCTTTACGTGGTGCACCAGTCGCCGGGAAGATAGCGCATCGGCCGACAAAGTCGTTCGGGCTGCGCACATCCTGTTTCACGGCCAGTGCCTGCATGCGCTTACGGAGAAAGGCTATTATCGCTACTCGACATATCAGAGGAACATGTGGACTGAAGGATTGCATGTTGTCTCGTGCAATCGCAAAGAAATGGCCGTTCGCTTTGACGAGCTGATGCTACAGGATAGCGAGGTGTCAGCGTGGAATACGGTGCGAAGGCTTGTTCTGGTTGACGAAGAAGCTTGTTGGAACGGAGTGTTATTAGTCAATCATTAGAGAAGAAAAACTCTTTTTGCCTTTGATTTATCATGTTCGGGAATATTTGTGTACAGGCTTCTGCTCCTATTTTTTCCGACATTTTGAATATTCTCTGGGTGGCGCATTCTTTTTACTTTATATAATAACTGTGTTCAACATCATGCGGTACGATTAACGAAAAGTACTGGTGGAATAAAGCTGATTAAATGGAGAGCGTGCCATTGACCGGCGCTTACTATGGTCCCATTGTAACGATAATCCTGAGAAGGCGTGACGCTTTACGGTGCAAATACGTCGACGCTTTGTTGTCTGTTAATAATTGGCGCCTTTTCAGCGCTGTTCATCTCAGTTGCTCCTGATCAATGATTAACGCATGAATACGAATGTGCATAAAAATGCGGGAACAAAATGCGAGAGCCGTCAAAAATTACACTGTGTTGCAAACAACGCGCATCGATGTAAATTTTTTTTGATAAGATGAGTGGTGCCGAAAAGTAATGTCAGTGAATTTTGTTGTGGTTCTGTTAATGAGTTTCTGTACTCACCTGACTTGAGGGAACTGCTGCACCTTTCGTTTTTTATTCTTGTTCTCCTTAATCTAAATACGCTTGACCAGACCTGCGAGTACCTTGGGTGTTTGTCTGCTCAGTTATTAAACCAAAACAAATTAATTTTGCACGGAATGACTGAAAGTTGCGATAGGTTATTCTTGTTCTGTTTAACTTGTATTTATTTGGATTTTTAATTGTTTGGTTTTGCGTCAGGAAACTACAGCTCGTAATTGTTGTTTTGTAATTATGTGTGTAAAATGTGTGCTGAGGGTTATCTGTATCTTGTGTGTTTTGTAGTAAATATGTTTCTGGAAAACCATAAGCACGGATATTTACGCGATAATTTCAACTTTTCTGCTTTGGTATTCGGAACAATGGGCGAGTGGGGTAAAGAATCGAAATATAAGATGTCTACACTCGGTACGATGCTGTTTGAGAGGGCACAGGAGAAACGGTCCACTCAGTTTCTGAAGCAGAGAATCAGTGTTGCTTTAATGCGAGGTAATGCTATTATGCTGCTTGTGTTCAGGAAACGTTTTGTACTGGCAAGAGGCTGGATGAAGTGTACTATTGGTTGAAATGATGAGAACTGCGTGATTCTGAGTTTAACCACTGTCAATGTGAATAACCCAATAAAAACTTGATGTTTCTGGAATGTCCGTTTATTGCACAATTCATAACACAGCAAACGGCCGCCGTAAAATTTGCATTGGAACAGTTCATAATTATTTTGAATCGGCCGTGTACGACTAAGCAGCTACAACTGAAGATGTGCTACGAAGTAATACTCTGTAGTGGTTGTCTTAAATCTATCGCCGTCGGATAGCTGGTACTAATAATTATTTCATTGGCATAGAGAAAATTTTGCCCGACTGAAAGCAGACTTGGATGCGTGTTGTTATTGACTTTTTAGTTATTATTACATTGGCTGAGTTAATTTTAAAAGGTTATCATGAATAAGGATAACTTTAAGATTTAAGAGCGCGATACATAATATGCGACAATCGGAAAACACGAAGCCTTCCGTAACCTACACCCATTCTAATTTTGAGGGAGGGCTTGGGCTCCTACAGCGAAAGGTTGCAAGGCCGGATTTCAGTACATACACGGCTGTCAATTTGCACTCGGTACCTCCATTTTCTTGTGCAACGGCAGCAGCTCTGTTCTGGAAACATCTACGACACACAGTTGTGAAGGGTTTCTCTAGCAAGGAGAGATCTGCTTATTACTGACAACCGGATCATGACCTAAGAGTTTCGCTATTCCGGATACAGGTCACCATATAAGCAACAGCGACGATCGGTGAAGCCTTCACTTCGACGCACTTTTTTAGTTTTTTGACCAGTTGTTTCGTAGCGTGCGCAAAGACAGGTCCGTCAGTATCGAGAACCTTTAGTCGGTAGCAGTGTTCTGTGTTGATCGCTGAGCAGTTTAGCGCGCACTGTGGTCTGTCAGCAGTTTTGACTGCAGTCAGTTGAATTGTTACGTCCCAATAAAAGGTCTCCAGAAATTGTGTGTGCGGTCAAACCCAACGTTAACCATGTTTTCGCTGCGGACCAGTCACATCAACGTGGTGCGCAACGATAACGTACATCTATACGGCCGCGTCGTGGACGTGACAGCTAACGGGCTGTACATCGATCTGTTATGCCCCAACCGTCATCGTGAACTCTTCCCGTACAACAGTGTCCTGATGTCCAAGGGTTACACGATGTCCCAGTGGAATTTCTTGAAAGACCGTCCAGAACCGTGGACCACCGTCCCGGTGGAAGTGCTGCGGCGTGAATCAGCCGCCGGTGCATGGCGCTGGTGGCCCGGGACCATGCCGAATCCGCGGGCGGGGGACGCGTCATTCTGGTGCGAACACTACGGTGTAGCCATGGTCCAGGGACAGGATGACAGCGGCGCGACCTGGACGGACATCTTCCCGCGACACCGGATCCGCTGGTCGGTGCCGGCCAACTACTCGTTTGAGCTACTGCATCAGCGAGCCAAGTTTCCGAATAAGACGATGCCGCTGCGCATTGCACCCGGACGGTTTGTAAAGCGCAGTATGCCGCTGCCCGCCCATTGTCCGGGTTCGGAGGTGTCAGCACTACAGCTGTTGCCGGCGCTGATGGACCTGCAGATAGACGGAAAACATGGCTGTTACGGACAGGCAGTGTGCGTCGACGTGGAGGATGAGCAGCTGCGGTATATTGTGGAGCTGGCTGGTGGCGTCTGGCCTGCGGAAGCTGCAGGCGCGGTACAAGTATGTTATCTTCTTAGTTCTTACATATTAAGCGGCAGGAGTCGCAACGTTCCTGGCTCCAAACCGCTCAGTCGTTAACTGGCCAGAAATTTTAAATAACTAGCGTTAAGGTTTTGTTTAGTAATAACCGATATATAGTACATACACAAATGCCTGTGGTGATGGACATTACTGGTGGCGTATCTGTCGGTTAGTGATGTGCTTCGTATCTCACCAACTGAGCAACTAACTGCACTAGCCTGGAAATATACAGGAATTGTAGTAGTCAGGAAACATACGTGTAGAAGTACCAGTGATCGTAACTACGCAGAAGGCACACAGAACAAGTAGCCTTAAAGGTCACACTAAGACATTTCCATAAACGAAAGGTTGTACCATATCCCGCTCTAACTAAAATGATTCAGATTTAAACACTGAGAAAACCTAAACCGTCATTCGTGCAATTATAGGGCGTCAACTAGCGCGTCAAACACGACACCGGCGTGAGCATAGATTACCTACATAGAAACCAGCAGTTATAGTTCACATGCACTATGAAAAGACTCCAACTGTTTGGGAGCGCAGACCCGAACGAAAAATTAGATGCTAGTTAACAAAATCGCTTTATTGATTGGTTCTCCAGACTTCTCCTTAGTCAGAACCAAGCAATAAATCAAAGCACGACTCGCACTGTACGAGTACAGACAGTCACTACGGCGCGTCACGATTATTACAGTACTACTTTCTTGCTGTATTCAACTCCTTTATTCGGCATAAAAAAACAGAATGAAACTATCTTAACAGGCTAATGGGAAATTTTTTACCGGTTAATTTTGAAACTTATACATTTTCTCGTTTAATTTTGTGAGATAAAAGTGACCCCTCGCAGAAATCGCACCCAGGTCCTACAGTTTTAAAGCTAAACGCACTTCCCTCAGGGCTTTGTTCCATTCAATAATCCGCATTAGCTTCAAATTCACCGGTTGATGCCGTAAAATTTGTGGTTGTCGTGTTGGACAATTTGTGTTGTTGTGCTTGAAACAGAAACTCCTTCAGCCGCTGCACGCCGCGCTGCTGCAGCGCATTCCAGACATGCTACGGACGCTGCCGGCTCCGGTAGAATGTGCGACGACGGACGAAGGCCTGTCGCTGGGAGTGGACGGGTGGCAACAAGTGTTCGCCCACCTGGACACATTAACGCAGACCCAGCTGCGCGCTGTCTGCTCCGCGTGGAACGCCATTCTGGACGCTCCGATTTTGACGGCTAACCTCGTTATCGAGACGAGTGCAGCCAGCGTATCGGTGCCCCATCTGCACTACACCCTGACCGCGCCCATCTTCCAATGTCTGCGTCCCTCCACCAAGCACATTATCCTCCATGACCGCGCGCACCGCGTCCACCTCGTGGATTTCTTAGTCATGTCGGACATCATCCACGCCGTGGCGCGGGAGCATCCCGGGATCCGTGTGGCAGGGTTGTACTTGGTCGGCGTGACCAACATGGCCCTGAAACTGAACCGTGGCGACTTGGCTAGCGATGACCATTGCGAGGTGCATGCGTCCAGCAGCGTGAACGAGCCAGGGCGGCCGCTTCGTTACAGCGGCCATCTGGATGATTTCAACGCAGCGTGCTGTGGTCTGCCGTGTGATGTGCTCCATCTGGTGCGGTGCATAATGAACCTGCAGATGAGCGTCGCCAAGATGGTAATACTTTGTTGTTGTGAAAGTTTCCTTTCACTTTTCTAGTGCATTTGTGTACGTATTTGAGAGTTATTAAAATACTGCATCGCATTCCGCAGACGTTGCCGTTGAAAGTGGATATGCCCATGGTGCATCTGCCGCTGAGTAGGAATTGGGCGGCCACGCTGTGGGATACGTTGAATGGGGCGTTGCCGGAGCCCAGCGCAGAAGATAAGCGGCGTGTGTCGCAAATGTTGGCATCGGCAAACGGAACATAACAGCCTGCAGGGTAAGAGCCAGCTTTCAGCCGGTGTATCTAATACTACCTATTCAATTCTATCACGATGTACGAGTGAACAACCAACTCGAAATTGCTTCGTTGTAATGCACTGCCCAAACAGACGCTTCTCTGTTCGGACCGCGGAAGTGTCCTGGTGCATGGTACCTCGCGCGCTCCCCAACACTTTTTTGTAGTTTTATACCTTGTGTCGGCAAATGATTTTTTTTATACTGGCGTTAAAACCGTTTATTCGCTTAGCATCCAATTGGAAGTTATG